TCCCCCCTCTCATCGGGGAAGAACAAATGATGTACACCACAACTTTTGGAGGTCCGCGCCGATCCGACAAGTCCGCGCGGACCTCCAAAAGTTAATGCTTATGTTATCCGTAAGGGCTTCGCCCCCTGCCGCCGGCCTCCTCTCTATCATAATGAGATGTAACAGAGTCGAGTCGGTGCGTCTCGGCGCTGCCTTGGCGCATCTGGGAACAGCATGCGGGGGCGGATAGGAGTCATCAGCGCCTATTGAAGCGTTGGCGTTATCGAACACGCCTACGGTAAATCACAGCCGCCCCCTGCCCTTTCGGAAGCGCCTGTGTGGCCGAACGTTGTGGCCAGAGGCCTGCCAAGCTATCGGACCATGTGTTCCCCGAATCGGCTCGGAAAGCGTTCGGGGAACACGGTGGGGGAGGAGGTCTCTTCGGGCTCTCGTGGAGGACCTCTTGTAGGCCCCTTGGGCCGTCTTGGAGGCCTCTTGGGGGCCTCTTGGGCCGTCTTGGGCAATATTGACGCTATGTGAGGCCGTCTTGGAGGCATCTTGGGCCATCTTGGAGGCCATCTTGGGGGGCGAAGCTATCGGACCATGTGTTCCCCGAGTCGGTTTGGGAAGCCTTCGGGGAATACGTGGGGGAGGAAGAGGAAGAGGAGGAGGAGGAGGAGAAGGAGGAAGAAGGAGAAGGGGGAGGATGCCTCTTCGGAGCCTCTTGAGACACTCTTGGGCTCGATTGGCCCATCTTGAGACCGTCTTGGAGGCCAAATTGGTGCTATCTTGGGCTCTCTTGGAGCTTCTTGAGGGCTTCTTGGGGCCTTCTAGGGACTTCTCGGGGGCCTCTTTGGCCGTCTTAGGGCGTTCCTGGCCCGTCTGACGCCGTCGGGAGCCGTCTTGGGGGCCTCTCTGAACCGGCTTGGGGCCCTCTTGGGGCGCTTCGGGGCCGTCTTGGAGGCCCTCTTGGGCGATCTTGGGGCGATCTTGGGGGCCTCTTGGGCCGTCTTGAGCCGTCGGAATGCAGAGAAGATGCGAATGCCAAAATCCTTCAAAGACCTCAGGAAAACCAACGATTTTGGCCTCTTCGGGCCCTCCTGGAGGACCTCTTGAAGGCCTTTTGGGTCGTGTTGGGCCGTCTTGGAGGCTTCTTGGGCGAGCTTGGAGGTACCTTGGACTCTCTTGGGCCGTCTTGGAGGCCATCTTGGACCATCTTGGAGGCCATCTTGGGCCAACGTGGCCATCTTGGAGGCCATCTTGAGCCGTCTCGGAGGATTTTTCCGGGATTGAGATTTCTTTCGGGTGGCAGGCGGGACTTGCCGAAGCCTTAGGGAGAGTTCTTTGGGAAAAATAACCAAAACCACATCGAAAGGATCCAGCATGCCAGGCACCCCTGTGATGAATCAACAGGGGGCGGTGGATCGAAGACGCCTACGGCGAATCACTGCCGCCCCCTGCCTTTTTAGAAGCGCCTATGTGGCCGAACGTTGAGGCCAGACCTGTCAAGCTATCGGACCATGTGTTTCCCGAATCGGTTTGGGAAGCCTTCGGGGAACACGTGGGCATCTTGAAGGTCATCTTGGCCGTCGGGAGGCTATTTTGATCCTTTCGGGCCTTCTTGGAGGACGTCTTGGAGGGCTCTTGAACCGTCTTGGAGGTCTTGGAGGCCTCTTGGGCCGTCTTGGGGGCCTCTTGGGGCCGTTTTGGGCCTCTTGGACGATCTTTGGGGACACTTGGGCCGTCTCGGGCCGTCGGAAGGCCGAACACAAGCAAATGCCACAATCCTTCAAGAACTCATGGGAATCAATGATTTTGGCCTTTTCGGGCCTTCCTGGAGGCTCTCTTGGAGGCCTCTTGGGCCGTCTTGGGCCGTCTTGGGCCATCTTCGGCCGTCTTGGGTGGCTCCTGGCCCGTCTGACGCCGTCGGAAGCCATTTGTGGGGCCTCTCTGGGCCGACTTGGGGCCCTCTTGGAATGTTCCAGGGCCGTCTTGGAGGCCATCTTGGGCGTCTGAAAGGCTTCCTGGGCCGTCTTGGGGGCCTCTTGGGGCCGCCTTGGGGGCCTCTTGGGCCGTTCTGGGGCCATTTTGGAGGCCTCTTGTGCGATCTTTGGGCGACCTTTGGGGGCTCTGGGGCCGTCTCGGGTCATCGGAAGGCCGAAAAGAAGCAAAAGTGCAAATCATCCAAAAACCTTAGGAAAATCAGCGTTTTTGGTCTTTTCTGGCCTTCCTGCCCTCTTGGAGGCCTCTTGGGCCGTCTTGGACCAGCTTCGAGCCAGCTTCGGCCATCTTGGTGGGTTCCAGGCCCGTCTGACGCCGTCGGGAGCCGTCTTGGGGGCCTCTCTGAACTGACTTGGGGTCCTCTTGGTGCGCTTCGGGGCCGTCTTGGAGGCCCTCTTGGGCGTCTTGGGGGCCTCTTGGGCCGTCTTGGGGCTCTCTTGGGGCCGTCTTGGAGGCCTCTTGGACCGTCATGGAGCCTTCTTGGAGCCCTCTTGGGCGATCTTGGGGCGATCTTGGGGGCCTTTTGGGCCGTCTTGAGCCGTCGGAATGCCGAGAAGAAGCGAATGCCAAAATCCTTCAAAGACCTCAGGAAAATCAGCGATTTTTGGCCTCTTTGGGCCCTCCTGGAGGACCTCTTGGAGGCATCTTGGGCCGTCTTGGAGGCCTCTGGGGGGCCTCTTGGGCCGTCTTGGGCCGTCTTGGACTCTCTTGGGCCATCTTGGAGGCCTTCTTTGACCATCTTGGGCGAACTGGGAGGCCATCTTGGACCATCTTGGAGGCCATCTTGGGCCAAAGTGGCCATCTTGGAGCCATCTTGAGCCATCTTGGAGGATTTTTTTTGGATTGAGGTCCTTTCCGGGTGGCCGGCGGGACGCGCCATAGCCCCAGGGGGAGTTCTTTTTGAAAAGAACCAAAACCAAAAACGATAGGATGTGGCACGCCGGGCACCCCTCTTGCAAGCAACAGGGGGCGGCGGATCCTAGTGGCTTTCGGACCATCCCGCCACCGTGCCTGGGTTGTGGGTCTGAGGCCTCTTGTATATGTGTTGGGGTGTCGTGGGGAGCCTCTCGGGGGCCTCTTGGAGGCGGTTTGGGAGCCTCTTGGGGGCCTCTTGGAGCATCGTGGGGTATCTTTTGGGTTTCTTGGAGGCCTCTTGTGCGCCTCTTGGGCCTCTTGTAGGAGATCGTAGCTGCAGGGGCGCGAATGTGGCGCGATTTACGAGGGATCGGGGGCGCGAATGTGGCGTATTTTCTCGGGATCGTGGCCTCGGGGGCGCGAATGTAGTGTGATTTACGGGAGATCGTGGCACCAGAGGCGCAAATGTGGCGTAATTTACAAGGGATCGTAGCCTCAGGGGCGCGACTGGCGTAATTTACTGGGGATCGTGGCACAAGAGGCGAGAATGTGGTGCATTGCATCTTACAGGGGATCGTAGCCTCAGGAGCGTGAATATGGTGTATTTTACGAGGGATCGGGGCCGCGAATGTGGCGTAGTTTCCAAGGGATCTTGGCCTCGGGAGCGCGAACACAGCGTAAGTTATGAGCGATTCTTGCGTCGGGAGCGCGAATCTCAGGTATTTTTACGTGTCCCACGGCCTCCCAGAAATTCAGAGCATGCGATTCGGGGACGCTAATCAGGGTCCTTTTCGGCCCCTCCCCCTCGCGCGGACAGTGACACTCTACAGAAAGAAGAAGAGAGCAATGCTGTAAAATTGGAAACTGGAAACTGGAACTGGCGCAGGGAGCAGCAAGCCGAAGCCTCGCAGCCTGATGGCCCCGCAAAGGGGGCCGGCGGATTCTCTGTTTCTCCCCCTCCAGTGGCCCAGTGGCCTGTCCTTCTCATTCCGAGTCATTTTGCCGACGGTCCTGGGGCCAGTGGAGGGCCCCAGGGCCCCGACAACGGCAAAGAATAGGGCGACGCGTTCTATACGCATCCACTGCTCCTGGCCTGGCCCATCCTTTGCCCAGGAGCGGTGTACATGCCCCCCCTGGCCACGGCAGGAAGGCGTGTACACCGCTCCTGGGCCCATCATGGGCAGGCCCAAGGCAGTGGCTATGTATAGATATCGTCGCCCATCAGGAACTTCCAGGACCCCTTTCCTCTAGGACCCGTTTCATTCATGTCCCCCCCCCGCGTTTCCCCCTTTCGGCTCTCACAGGGTTGGGCATGGGGCAAGGGGGCGGGCTACTAACTCTGTTGCACAGAGCGGGCTTTGCCCCCCGCCGCCACGTTTTCTGCATCGATGCCCTGGCGCTTCCCGGCGCTGGGTGGCGCTGGGAGAGCTGGCTGCGCGCGATGATTTGGCCCCCCCGCCTTGACTCAGGAGGGGAAAAAACACACAGACACAATCAATCGTCGATTCCCAAGAAAATATAGGAAAATGTGCGAAGTGGGGGGGAAGACAAAAAACCCAGAAACTATAGGAAGATACGGGGGTATTTTTTTATCTGTGTGTATTTCTTTGTGTGTCCTGGGGCCCCCCGCCTTGGCCTCTGCTGCCGCCCGGCCCCCGACTCGAGCCCCTGCCCGCCCCGCTCTGGCCTCGCGGGGCTGGCCCCTCGGGCGGACGGTGCGCGCCCCGCTCCGCTCCGCCCCTTCCCTGCTGGCCCCCCCCCACCCTTCGCTGGACCCGATCTCTCTCTCTCTCTCGGACGCGGCTGGGTCGGAGGACGCGTAACGGGGGGGCGACGAATGGGGGGGGCAGCGGGGGCTGTCGGAAAGGAGCCCTTTCGGTTCCCAGAGTGGCCCTTTGGGACCCAGGAGGGGGCCCTTCGGGCCGGAGAAGGGCACTTTTCTCACCCCTCATTTATCGCACCCCATTGATTCGCCGAATTAGGGCGAGGACAATTCCGGCCCAGAGCGCTCTGAGAAGGCCGCGGCGCCCGAGACATCCTCCAGAGCCTCCAGATCTCAGATATTCTCGATTCATCCTCACTCGATTTTGTCCTCGTCCTGGTTTCGTCTTAATTATGCCCCCCCTTTCGTCCGACCCGATCTTCCAGTGGCCCTGGCTCGGGAGGCGCCCCGTGGTGACGCTGACCATCAGCCATGCCGACCTGCAGGCCGCTCTGGCGCACCGATCTGCCCTGCGGCCGCTGCCCAGCCTTCCTCTTAAGCTTCGGCGACTGGAAGGAGGAGGAGGGGGAGGAGGAGGAGGAGGAGGAGGAGGGAGGAGGAGGAGGAGGAGGAGGATGAGGAGGATGAGGAGGAGGAGGAGGAGGAGGAGGAGGAGGAGGAGGAGGAGGCGGAGGAGGCGGAGGCGGAGGCGGAGGCGGAGGCGGAGGCGGTGGAGGCGGAGGCGGTGGAGGCGGAGGCGGAGGCGGAGGAGGAGGAGGAGGAGGAGGAGGAGGAGGAGGAGGAGGAGGAGGAGGAGGAGGAGGAGGAATAGACTCGTTAGACTCGACTTTGGGCACTCTAGCTGCGTGCCCCTGGAGCGAGCTAGCGCAGGGTGCTGACTGGAATCCGGCAATACGTGCCAAGATGAAGACGAGGAGGGAGGAGGGAGGGCTGGAGGAGGATCGAGGAGTGAGGGGGGGAGCGGGGTTGGAGGAGGCTTTTGACTCCACATGGGCACTGCAGCTGCGTGCCCCTGGAGCTAGCACGGGGTGCTGCTGACTGCAATCCTTGCACTGGTGCCAAGATGAATGCAGAGAAACCCACTTCCTGACGCAGGGGCGCGGCGTGAACCCCACCTCGCTCGGCACCCCTGGGACCGGCCGAGGGAGCGGTACTGTGTCCGAAGGGAGGGGAGAGGCGGCAGTTCGGGCGTGGCTAAGACGCGGAGAACGCCAGAGTGCCGCGCCGGAGTCGCGGACCTCCGGAAGCTTGTGCTTACTCATGTCGTCTTCTTCTATCTTTCCCCTGCGTCCGTCTGTCTGTGTGCTTTCCCGGTTCTCTGAGCCGCGGCGTTTGGAGCTTCTTAGCTCAGGGACGCGTCGGCCACCGCCGCCCTCTCCCCTGTCGGTTGCCCTGACGAGGTTGGGGGAGAGGGTGCCGAAGCGCGCCCAGAGTGCAGCAAGGCATGAGGGTGCAAACCCGACTTGTCTGGCTGATGCTCTGGTGGGCCTGTGCTCAGGGGAGGCTGCAGCACCGCTCAACGATGTGCTGTTTTACCGGACCTGCAGGGTGGGCCCTTTCCCAAATCCGTGCTTCGATGCGGATCGTCTGCGCGCCTCGTCTCCGTCGTCGTCGTCGTCGTTGTCGTCTGCGTCGTCGTGGTCGTGGTGCGTGTTGCTCTGCTCGGGAACCCACAACCACCCACTTCCCCTGCGTCGGGAAACAGCAAATTACGTAAACGAACACTTTCGGAGCTCCGCGCGGATTTCTCGAATCTGCGTTTTTCATTCCAGGGCCCAGGAAGGGCACCCCAGAGGCGGAACACGTAGCAAAACACCAGCCGCGGTGTTTTCTCACGACGCGAGGTGTCTTGAGTTCGGGGGTGCGAAATCAATTCCCGGGCCTCTCTTGTGATTCGTTGTGGTTAGATAGGTGAGATGGATTTAGCCGTGGCGTCGAGGAGCCCCGCGGAGGCCGGCTGGACACGACCACCTAGCTCGGGTCGGACGAAACGGGTCAGCCACGCGCAGAGGGGGGAGGGGAGAAAGCTTCTGTGAAGCACCCCTGCTTCTTAGAATGCCCGGGCCTTTGGATGTAAGGCCAGCGCCTTCTAAGGAGCAGCCTCCTTCTGAGAAGCCTTCCCCCTCCTCCTACCCCCCTGCGCGTGCCGCCAAGGGCGGGAGGGGGGATTGGAAAGGGTGGGGTGCGAAATCCGTGGCGTGCAGCTGCCCTCGGCCCGACCGCCAGGCCTTCTTTTCGCGATGGATGGTCGACGCCAGCGCCCGGGGGCCACGGGGACACCAGCCGCGGGAGCTCCTTGCCATCCCCCCCCCCTTCAGGAGCGAAAGAAGGACGTACTTGCACATGAATCCACGCTGGTTTCGAGAGCACGCATTGCGCAAATGTTCGTACAACGCGGCCAGTCTCGCGGATCGAGGGGCCGTGTTCATGTACATAGCTGGGCGCGTGCGTCCTCTGTGGGCTCCCTGCCCCTGTCGCCCGCTCCGAGCACGGCACCGAGCCCCGAGGCCCCCCTGTGCGTGCGCCCCGGCCGGGCTCGGCCGCCCCCCCCTGCAGCCCGAGCTTTGCCGTGCAGGCAGGGGGGCTCCCGCGGGAGGGGGGCCCCCCGAGGCCCTCCTCCTCCTCCTCCTCCTCCTCCTCCTCCTCCTCCTCCTCCTCCTCCTCCTCCTCCTCCTCCTCCTCCTCCTCCTCCTCCTCCCCCCGGGGGCCCTCCGCGGGGCCGGCTCCTCCTCTGCAGGGCCCGCGTGCTCGGGACCGGGCCCGCGGAGTGGCGCCCGAGCGCGGCGGGCGGGCCTCCGAGGCCCGCGCTGCCTCCGAGGGGGCCCGGGCCCCGGCCCTGCCGCGAGGTGCTTCCCTCGACGACACGTAACCCAGACCCCCTCGAGTAAAGAAAAAATCATGACGGGATGTTTTTCTAAATTTTGGCCTCCGGGGGCCCTCACCGGGCCTCGGGAGCGTCAAAAAACGACTCAGGATGCAAAGCCGGTCGTGGGGAAAGGGTCCAGACCTCTGGGGGTCGACGTAATGTAAAAATCATTACGTCGGGGGTCTGGGAAGAGTGCCCCTTCGCCGGAGTGACCTTTGGTGCGGGCACAATGGGGTCCCCCGATCGCCGATTGCGATGCGACAGTAGCGTCTTGCGCGCCGGAGTTTGGTCCCCCCGCGGCCCCCCAAGTGCCGCGCACCAAAGGTCACTCCTGCCCAGGGCCACTCTTGCTCGCAGCCGATTCCCTCCGCTCGCGGCCCCTGGAGATCTCGACCCACCTCCTTGGGCCCGAGCTCGGGCCGCGGCGGCCGGAGCGAAGGGGGGGAGTGCCCGAGGCGCTGCGGGACTCGGCCCTGCACTGGGCGCAGAGGGAGACGGCGGCGAAGATGCGGGTGCAGCAGGCTCGCAGGCGCGCTGCACCCGCAGGGGGGGGAGATGGGGAATGGGGATGCGGATGATGATGAAGATGCCGCTGCTGCTGATGAATGATGATGATGATGCTGCTGCTGCTGATGATGATGCTGGTGCTGATGATGCTGTTGATGATGATGATGCTGATGATGATGATGATGATGATTGTGATGTTGATGATGATGATGATGATGGTGATGATGATAAAGATGATGATGCTGATGCTGATGATGCTGGTGATGATGATGATAATGATACTTATGATATTGATGCTGCCGATGATGATGATGATGATGACGATGATGATGATGACGATGATGATGATGACGATGCTGATGATGCTGCTGCTGATGATGACGACGATGATGATGCTGATGACGGTGTTGATGGTGATACTGGTGGGAGTGATGATGCTGTTGATGGTGATGCTGATGATGATGCTGATGATTATGACGATGACGATGATGATGATGTTGTTGATGATGATGCTGATGCTGATGCTGATGATGCTGATGAGGATGCTGCTGATGATTCTGATGATTGTGATGATGCTGCTGATGATTGTGATGATGCTGATGATGATTATGCTGATGATGGTGACGTTGATGATGAATATAATGATGATGATGATGATGATAATCATGATGCTGCTGATGATGATGATGGTGATGGTGATGGTGGTGATGATGCTGATGATGATGCTGATGATGATTATGCTGTTGATGATGCTGATGACGATGATCCTGATGATGATGATGATGATGATCATGATGCTGATGATGATGATGATGAATGATGATGATGATGATGATGATGATGATGATGATGATGATGATGATGATGATGATGATGATGATGATGCTGATGATGATGATGATGCTGCTGCCGATGTTGATGCTGATGATGATGATGATGATGGTGATGGCAATGATG